AAAATTTACCAAATAGGGAGAGTTTCTCTTCACCCAAGTTTCAATTGGATAGAAACTTTGAATCATGCAACTTGGTTGCATGATGAATGAGAAATTTCATATTTGGAAATTAGACTAATTCGTTGACAAAGTGTCAAGTGAAGGACTAGGAGATCGAGCACACAAAGTTGTGTGTTGATCAAGTCCACCACAAGAGTAACAAAGATATTCATCATGATTTACTAAAGGTTTAGTAAATATGATTATACTTATAAGATTAAGTGTGATACTGAATTGATTGAAAGATTTTAAATCAATAGCAGAACGAATAAGAAGAATCAAGTAGGCAGAAAGATAAAAGTTTCTCTATTCTAAGAAGAAGGGAGAGTACCTTTTATTATGTTTTATGATAGGTCTCAATGATTAAGAACCATATCTCAATTGATTCTCTAAGTAAGTCTTAGTACAATTGTATGCCTGAGAAGAGCAATCAAGAATTGAAGAAATGGTTAAATCACGAAGTCAATCATACTTCGTTCCAAAAACAAGTCTCAGAGTTAAGATTGTGACATTGAGTGACAAGTCTTAAGAAGTTTTATAACATTCACCAAGTGTGGAAAGTTGTCATGTCTTGGATAAGACAAAGACCAACTAGGACCAATTTTGTGAAGTGTTTTGTCTTGATAAAAGCTACACTAACTCTTGAATATTTTTTTGTCGAGAAATGTTTATTAACAAGAGAATCTTATATGTCAAGGAGTCAGTGGGAGTCTTAATGGGCTTGAAAGGTTTCAAGAACAAATCAAGAATAAACCTTATCGGTCATTACTAGCACACGACTTGAGGTTTATAACCTATCGTGTTGATGTTATTTTGTTTCTGTGTCATTCCAATTGAGTTAATTATCCATGTGAGTTCTATGAGTTCTCATTTGAATGCATAAAAGGTAAGGACCTTGATCAATTAAAAGTACATTGATAGGAAAGGGTGAGCTACTTAACTGCTTGGAAGACATGGTGGGCACTCGTGTTACCATAAGGTAAGAAATCAAGATTAAGAGTTCGGTCCATATGAGTTTGGATGTGTCCCAAACTTTGGTTTTGACAAATTCGCATGGATAGGAACACGTACACCATTAAAATCTAAGTGTCATAAGATTCCCTCCTTCATGAAAATGACTGTGAGGAAATGCTTTCACTAAGAGAGATTTTAAGAAGATAGTGATTGCGAAAATTGCATTCTTAAATTCGATTATGGTTACGGTATCCCTTTCCATGATAGGAAAGGGTGAGCTACTTAACTGCTTGGAAGACATGGTGGGCACTCGTGCTGCCATAAGGTAAGAAATCAAGATTAAGAGTTCGGTCCATATGAGTTTGAATTTGTTGCAAACTTTGGTTTTGACAAATTCGCATGGATAGGAACACATACACCATTAAAATCTAAGTGTCATAAGATTCCCTCCTTTATGAAAATGACTGTGAGGAAATGCTTTCACTAAGAGAGATTTTAAGAAGATAGTGATTGTGAAAATTTCATTCTTAAATTCGATTATGGTTACGCTATCCCTTTCCATGATTTGAATTGTGAGATTTGGCAATTAGTCTAAATTGTTTAGAGACACATATGAGCTATCTAAGGAAAAGGTGTATATGCTTAGATAAAGGATTATCAAAGCATTAGGTATTAGAAATATGAACTTGAGAAATTCAATAGGTATTGTTTTCTGGAAGTTAATCTGTTTTCTGAATACATGACAAAGCTAGTGGGAGCATAAGAGTTATGCTTATATGATAATAATCATCATGATAGTGGGAACATAGAAGTTGTGCTTGTATGATTATTATGGCAAGTATTGCAAGTTAGCAATATTAATTATAGAAAACAAGAGTTATACTTTGCAAAGTCGCAAGGGTTGAAAAGTTGTTTTGCTATAATTAAGGGAGAGAATATTATGCTTCATTTCAAATCTAAAGGCTTAGGTTGTGGAATGTTAATAAATTTAGTTAAGGATACATAGTACGTTCTCAAAATTTCGATTATGATTATGGCATCCCTCTTCACAGTTCGAATTGTGAGAACATGACACATTAAATATTATGGCAAAAGATTGATAAAGTATCGTATCTTTATGTAAGACATTATGCGTCGTGTCCCATATGCTTCGGGTATAGGATCGATCGCAAGTGCTATAATATTGGACCATTCTAAAATTTTCCAAATGTCTAGCGCATTTAGAGGGAAAAGGAGAAGAATCGGTTTTGACTAAGATAATTAAACAACTATCAAAGGACGATCCAAAGCTCGCTGAGGATTGGTCGCTTGTGAGTAGTTGGAAGTATGGTATTGGATGGACCATATTAACATTATTATGAATAGATAAGATTCTATTAAGAATGAGTTGTCATATGGAAAATTGGATATTGAGAATCTATATCTAGATTAGAAACTTTTATGCAAGAAAGGATGTTCAAAGGAATGTACTTTGAGACATCATATCTATAGAATTGTTTCTTATAGAGATTGGCCAAGTCTTGATGATTTTGAGCTATGACTTTACGAAAGAATCATTGCATAAAATGTTAGAATCTAGCATAAGTAACAAGAATTTGATATTCTTACACTTGTGATAGGGATTGGGAGTTGTGAAATGAGTATGATTGGAAATGTGTTCATTTGATCTATGTCACTGCCACCAAGTAACATGATATGCCATTCAAGATGAGGATATGTTGTTATGGAGCATGATGCTCCACCAAGGTTCATGGTGTATCATCATGGCTCCTGATGTGCCAATTGGATGTCAAGTTCACTAAGATTCTCAAGATTGTCCAAATGTTGCTCATAATAATGAAGATGATCATTTAGGATGTTCCACATAGTTGATGCGTCATCTTGATGGCAGATGCGCCATCATGATGCACCAAGTGATACATGATGCTTCATCATGTGTTTGGGTTGATGCTCATGAGGTTGAAGATTCTAGAAGTGCTTGTATGGTATTTTGTGATTGGTTTGAAATTAGGACATCCCGATTATGGGATAATTATAGATGGGCCTGTCCCATCTTAATCAGGGTTTCCTGTGCATTCCAATAAATATGTTAATATCTCTATCATTGTTAGTCCACATAAATTTCAAAAGAGAAATAATTGTAAGGTTGAGAACACATCCTTTGGAGCAGTTAGTAAGCAAGATAGATGCTTTGTTTTGAGAACTCAAGCGATGTGTAACGCTTGTGTGTAATTGTAAGTGTCCTTGGAAATTTAATAAAATCCTCTCTCTCTCTCTCTCTCTCTCTCTCTCTCTCTCTCTCTCTTTCTCTCTCTCTCTCTCTATCTATCTCTCTATCTATCTATCTATCTATCTATCTATCTATCTATCTATCTATCTATTTATCTATCTATCTATCTATCTATCTATCTACCTATCTATCTCTGGTGGATGTAGGTTACCTTGACCGAACCATGTTAAATATCGTGCTCACTTGATTTACAATTTTCAAAAGTTTTATTTCCGCAAGTTCACTGAAGTTTGTTTTGATATTTGTCTAAAATGTTTAACTTCTGTTGTTGCCATCCCAACATTACATGGGTTTATTTAAAAGAAAAAAATAAATATGAAATTGTAAACATTTGAGAAGTTTGAATTTATAAGAAAAATAAGAAAATTATTAAATAATTAAAATTAAAGTGTTTTTTTTTCTCTTTTAAATTTAAACAAATAAATTAGATAAATAAACAAAGGAAACTAATTAGCCTTTAATTTAGTAATTTTGAAATTAGAAGGAAAATCTATTAATGTAATTAATATGTATTTATTGTTATATTTTTTAAATACTATATGAAATTTAATAAAATGAAAAACCATAAAATGACATGTGGAATAAAAATAAATTTAAAATAATCACAAAATGACAAAATAAATGAAAATGTGACATGTAGCAAAAGAATCATTTCTAATAAATGAAAATAATGTTGTTATATGTCATCTTCTAATGCATTATGCCTTATGGGTTTTTCTTGTTATTTTCATTTTATTTTTTTTCCACATGTTATTTTATGTTTTTTTTTCATTTTATTAAATTCCACATAATATTTAAATGTAATAATAAATGCATATTAATTTCATTAATGTAAATTCCTTATAATTTCAAAATTATTAAATTAAAGTCTCATTAGTTTCATTTTTTTTATTTATCTAAATCATTTGTTTAAATTTGAAAGAAAAAATATTAATTTATTAATTCAATATTTTTCTTACTGTTTTTAATGAAGTCAAACTTTAAGTGTTTGGAATTTCATATTTAATTTTTTTAAATAAACTCATATAATACATGAATCTTGCACCTAATATATATTTAATAAATGTGACGTTTGGCAAAAGAGTATATAATTAAAATTAAAGTGTTTTTTTTTTTTTTTTTTAATTTAAACAGATAAATTAGATAAACAAACAAAGGAAACTAATAAGATTTTAATTTAGTAATTTTCAAATTAGATGGAACGTGTATTAATGAAATTGATATGTATTTATTATTATATTTTTTAAAATACTATATAGAAGTTAATAAAATGGATAACCATAAACGGACATTTACAATAAAAATAAATTTAAAATAATCACAAAATGACAAAATAAATGGAAATGTGACATGTTGCAAAAGAATATATATATATATATATATATATATATATATATATATATATATATATAGAGAGAGAGAGAGAGAGAGAGCGAGAGAGAGAGAGAGAGATAGCTTTAGGTATTTTAATTGTGTGGATGTAGGATTGATTATGGACCAATCAAAATTTAAAAAAATTAATATTAATTAAATAAATAAACAAGGGTATTTAAGTAATTTGATAAATAATTTCCTCAAATACTTCCTATAATCATGCTAATTACATTGACTTTTAACAGAATAAATCTTAAATAATCTCACTTCTCATTCTGTTTTCTCAATTTCTTTCTCAAAAATCATCGGCCTACCATCCATCCTCATAGATTTGATGTTTAATCTAAAAATCCTCTTCTTCATCCGTTATCTTCTGGTTGTTTAAAACTCTAGCCGTCGACCTCAATTTTACCCCTCTTTCTCTAAAAGTCGTCGGCAACATGAGTCCGCCCATTGAATCTGGCCAAAAACCACCAGCTTTCTCTTCAGTTTTTTGGCATATCGCCACTGCCAAATCTCCATCGTTTGTTGTTGCCGCCACCACTATCGTTTGCCGTTGTCGTCGATCTCCAGTAGCCATTCGCTATTATGGCCATCGATAAAGCATCTCCACCCTTCAAATTTCGTTTATTTGTATCATTCCTCCGATTGAAGACCCGAACGATTACCATTGAATTTTTTTTGGGCTCAGGCACCCTTCGACTTTGATTGCGATCAGTGAATTAAAGAAGCAGAATCCTTGGATTAATATCACATAATTTACAGAATGTCTTGATGTTCGCAGGTACTCTTTATCCCTTTATGGTTTTATTTGATCGATTCTCTTCCTCCAGTGATTTACATGTTCGTTTCTAAAATTTTGTGAACTTGGTAAATCTTTTAGAAAGTAGATCGTTCAGATTTATTCATTTTAGCTTCACTTTATACAAACAAGAACAGATTGCCAATTTGAGGATTTTAGTTTCATGATATTTTTTTATGAAGTGGGGAGGATAAGATAAAACCTCTTTTAGGATAACTTTCCTTGATACCCCTTCAGATTTTTTAAGGATAATTTAGATCAATAAACTTTTCTCAACATGTGCTTATCAATCGACTTTTTTCTGAAAGAGGAGGTTACTTAGCATATTGTTTGCGTTGAGGTTTAGCAATGACAGTAGTGAACATATGCACTTGATGTTGGAGCAGAACTTTAATTGGATTTGACCACTACTAGAAAAACAGCCTTTTATGACGCTCATTGCGCATCGTAAAACGCTCAGATGACGCGCAAATGCGCTTCAAGGAAGGCCCTGTCATAAAGAGAGACGACGCGCTTTTGCGTGTCGTCTATAGACGAGGCGCATTTACGACGTGCATTTACGACGCTCGGTTATGACACCCAATGCGTATCAATGAAGGCCCTGTCATAAAGGAAGATGACACACATTTGCATGTCGTAACCTTACGACGCGCGTGTTTATGACACGCAATGCGTATCAAGTAAGCCCCTATCAATAAAGGTCATGTCATAAATGAAGACGACACACATTTTTGCGTGTTGTAATTTTAATTTTTTTTAAAAAAAATTTATTTATAGATTTACTGATTTTCAAATTAAATTTGCATTTCATGTCTCATAATAGAAAATAAATTACCATATACAAAAAATACAATACATTGCACAAAAATTAATGTCATACAAATAATCATTCTAATAGTAGACAAATCTAATACATCAAATAATCATTCTAATAGTAGACAAATGTAACATTTCAATAGTTTTTATATAATTAACTAAATTATTAGCCAAATTTCCTAAAATACCAACATACTTTCTTATGAAGAGCATTAACACTATCCTTTTCCATCAAAAACTTCAAAACCTGCATAATTAAATTAACGTGTAATCAACTACAGGTCAATAAGGTAGGTTTAACCAAAAGAGTTTCATAATAGTAAGATTTTACTTTGAGTTTATTACAACTTTCAGCTCTTAATTGCTCAAGACTTGTCTCATACAGATAAATTTTAGGATTAAGAGGTCTTACTTCAGGTAACATATCCATGACTGATGTTAAAAAAAAAACATGTACCACACAAAAGTATAAATTATACCAAGTTTTTATTTGTAGTTGAATGCAACTTTTCATAATCCCCCTCATCCTCTTATTCTTCCTCTGTTCCCTTCCATCCGAATTGTTCAACTACAAATAACAATTCGTGTCGTAAAACAAAAAGTTACCCTGTTCACGTTCCACCCAAAATAAACAAATAAATAACACAAGTTTCTTTTTGATTTAATGCAGAAAGAATGACTTAATAATAAAGTTACCTATGGATATTTGAATTTTGACAGTGCCATGAGCATCACCAGCCTCTTTCAGGTAATTACTAGCTGCTGACCTGGAACACTCCCGCATTTTCAGTATTTCAATTATCATGTATCATGTATCATGTATCATGTATGGTGTTACTGTTACCTATCAAATGGAAGTGGTTGGCCCCCTTACATATGTAGAATATCTCCAAGTTCTTGATGTGTCTTCTGCTAATCCATACTGCAACAAAACAAGATTATTCATGACAAAAATATCAAATTTCATAAATAGTATACAATGATTTTATTATATTGGGACAAAGATTACATAAACTAACTGATCAGAACAGTGCCAAGGTTGTAAATTGCTCTGTGGAAGTCAAATTGCAACTGTATTGTTGCACAAAACTTCATAGGTGGTTATAAATGTGGTTAATAACAATCCATTCATGGTGAAAAATTATAAGAAAAGAAGTGAAGTTTTTATAATATTTGTTTACCTTACTGATTGCACTTCTTACTATAGTCTGTTTTTCACGGGCAGGAACAATTGCACATAATTCCTGTGACACCCATTATTGATGTTAATCAATGTACATAAATAAAACATATAAAATGTTTAGGAGTATATTCGAAAGTTTTAAATGAAGCACCTGTAAAGCAAGTCCCCAGTTGTTAAGAGCCTGAATTTAATTTCATCACAAAGTCATAAACAAGAAGCAGGGAATTTACAAATGAAATAGAGCTACTTCTCTTTTTGTTTTAAAGTTACCTGTCGACTGTTCCAGTTTAGTTTGACAGCTATTTCATAATTCTTTGTTGCTTGTTTCCATAGTTCTTCAGCTTCCTTTGTACGTCCATGGAGTTTGCCTCTATCAGATATGGCAATAGCCCAATTATAATAAGCCTGTAGTTGCCCCTTCACAGCAACCTGTACCATCTTTCGCCAGATGTCGGTATCTACACGAGCATCGGTTGTTATAACCTGAAAATTGACAATTTTTTTGAATCAATTAAATTTTTTTTACAAAACATTTTGTAGTAATAAATTAATAATATAACAATATTAGTACATACACCAAGAAGTGTTCCCATGTTTAGGTAATAAATGAAATAAAAAGCTATATGAGCAACCACAACTGAACACATCCCGTGATGGAACCCGGGATACCAATTCCTTTGGATTCAATTGGAATCCATAAACCAAACATGTACCAGAATGGAATTCAGATTGGTTTGTAAACTTATTCAAGAAACCAGAAAGTAGAAAAAGATGTGTTTGTGAGGACAATTTAGTCATTTAATGAAAAAAAAAGTATGGAATTCAATTCTTAGCACCCATTTCCAGTAATGGAATTCAAGATCCAATTCCTTTAGATTCCGTTGGAATCCATGAACCAAACACACCCTAAGATCATCTTAAACGATAAATTTCAAGACGGGTTTGTTTTTGGGGGCAAAAAAAAAATAAAAAAAAGTATAATATTGTAATAGGAATAAATGTAGGGAAAGATGCTATAATAAACAAATCAACAAAAGTATTATGTTTGAAATACCTTAGACTTATACCCAAACTCCACAGGGTAATTTTCCTCTTGAAAGATCTCAAGAAATCGTTGCTTGACTTCCAACTTGTTGTCCACAGAAGAGACCACTCTAACAACAAGTGCTTCTGCTCCAGGAACCTGATAATAAAGAAAATATAAGATGGATAATTTATTGTTCATTCACAATGTATGGTATGGAGTTGTCTTGTTTTTTTTTTTGGGGGGGGGGGGGGGGTTATAACATCACCTCATCGTAAGTTTTCCCATAGAACCTTGCACGCTCTAGTCTCTCCTACTTCAACTTTCAAAACAACCTGCTCTCTATGTGATCACTGAGTATGGTTCGAGGTAAATCTTTTGCTCCAACTACAAAACTCTGTGGTAGAGGCATCCTCTCTCTTCTTTCAACTTCTTCCATATAACAATTCTTACAAGTATAATCTGCTTGCCCCCCCCCCCCCCATCATTTCTTCAACCATTAAATAGCGCACATATTTGATGCTGCCAGGCTTCACACCTGTCACATTAAACCCACTGCAGTGCACAACCCCACAAGAACTATCTAATATATATATATATATATATATATATATATATATATATATATATATATATATGTATATTTATATATATATATATATATTAAATAACATTAAGTGGGAACCAACTAACCAACTAATATAATACATACCAAATTACTAAAACACCCTTGTTCACTAACTACCAACATATATTAAAGGTGTAACGGAATAAGAAAGTGAAGCTAACAAAACATTTGAAAACAAAGAAAACACAAAGTAGGAGGTTCAAGCTACTGACACTTGACAATATTTTTAAGAAAACAACAGATGTGTAAAGCTTCTATAATTGAAAATAACTGCAACTCATGGGCAATAAGTCTAAGCATTTACTTGTACAAATAGATGATGATGATGATGATGATGATGATGCATTTTTGTACTAATATATCCAAGAAACTAGGAACACGGGATCCATGGTTGAATAACTTCCTAGAGGTTAAAAGAAGTTAATTAGACGACCATTAAACTATTCCACCACCGGAGAATTGCAAGCTTGATTTGGAACAACATTATTCCCACCAAATTCACCATCCAAGCTCATTTCCTGAACTTCTTGAGGAGATAAGATTTTGATGGATTTTACGCAGCTTACAAACTCTTTGAAATGCATATACGAAAACCAAAGTCATAAATATTAATATACCATCAAACAGATATATCAAATAAACAAACACAGTGTTTGTTTGTGAGATATAAATCAGGTACACAGTGGCCCTATTTGTCATCATTTGTAAATTAATAGCATATATGACTTACTCCCAAGGGTCATTCCCAACAAGGAGAATGTCGTTCTCATGATCCACATACATAAGTTTCCACCCAATTCTCTGTTGACCATCCAGTTGACCCTCGATACCAAACCTTCGAGCAAGATCTTGTTTAAGCTCATCATACCCTAAATATGAAGTAATATCAATTGATCTTCCAATAGCTCCTCTTTTGTAGACCTACATGAACCAAAATTATAGTTTAACTCCTAAGACTTAAAACATACGAGGCTAAAAGACACATGAACACTACAAAATTGGACTTGACAAACTTTCTAAAGCTATTTTCAATGACAAGGTTTCTTATGTCATTTTCCCTTTCTTAGCTTAGTTATATAGTGCTTTCTTTTATTTTATTTTATTTAGGGTTAAAATAACATAAAATTAATTCAAATTATGACTATACAAATATACAGATAACGCTAGAATAGTTAATATCTAATCTGACCCTTGTATACGTCCGCATTCGCTGAATTGGTTGTGGTGGAGCCCAAACACCACTGTTCAATAAACCACCATTGTTTATGGTTGAATTAATGGAGTTGAAAGCCATATGTGGAACTCCAAACCTTCCCGTGTATGCATCAATATAATTGGATCTTCCAACTGTTCCTCTCTTGTAGACCTACATGAAACCAAATACAAGTTTAATTCCTAAGAGTCGCAGTTTATGAAAGAAGATGGAGAAGAAAGACTATCAATAATCAACATCAAACTATTACGAACAATCATGAACACTAATTAATATTATGAAGTTTGGAACATGTTAGCAATGCAAGACAAAATGTCTAAAAGTCATTTTTCTAGAAGTTGAAAACAAAACCTGAAACATTGAATTAGTGGACCTAGTTTTGAAGTAAGATATGTTATCAGCTATCAAACATTGAAACCCAAATTTGCCTCTCAATTTCTCCTAATTTACACTCAATACGCTGGAGTTTAAACCTAAGATTTACTCCAAATGTTGCTCAAATAGTCAAATTTCAACATGGTTTTAACTAATCATTAAATGCGAAGCTTGCAACAAACACACTCAGATTCAGGATTATAATCATACTCCATCATTTAATTCAGATATAATAACCTGCTGAACTTCATGTTTTCTTCACGGGCCAATACAGTCTTCTGGGGAGCAATCGAAGCCTGAGTCAGACATTGAAGCAAACACCTCACGGGCGTCAAAAAATTCATCTTCGTTATCACTGTACCTACCCATCTTCGATTCCTAAAATTTCACCTTGTGAAAACCTAACCGACATATGTCATTGAATTAATATAATTTAGCACAGAAGATTGTATCTTGAATAAATGGAATTTTGGTTTAGGAAAAGTGAAACATCCGAACCCTAACGCACCTAAGAAATCAAACAAGAAGAATTATAATAAGGGAGAAGGAACAAAGCATACCTGAGATGCTTAGAGAGTATAAGTGAGGACTGTGGAATGATAAGGAAATCGCCATTGAAACCTGCATAGTTTTTGAGTTAGGGTTTTCACAGGAGAAGATGAGAAGATCCAAAATCGAAATCAAAGCTATGAATAGAGGAGAGATTAAAGAAATAGAAGAACAAAAACATTAGGAAGAGATAATAAACATAGCATATCTTAGTCGGGCTAGGGTGTGGAAAATTGAGCAGTCTCTGACGAGGTCACATGAGCCCGAGGTCGCCGGAGGAAAATACCCCTAAGGTCGTTGAAGGAGAAGTGAGCAAAGATGTTGCCGACGAGGTGAGGCGAGATCATCGATCGATTGTTGCAGAGGCCAGAGAGCACCAAGTGTTTCCGTTCTTGAAAAAAAGCCCTAGTCCCTGCGATTTTGTGGAATTTAGTAGTATTATCCTTGCTTGTCTTCTTCTTTTCTTCTTAAATCTAAATAACAATCTCTATGAAATCGCAGGTTGGCTTTTTAGGTTAGAGAGAGAGAGAGAGATAGAGAGAGAGAGAGGGAGAGGAAGACGAAGAGGAGCGGGTTTTAATTTTTCACATGGAATAGGCGGGGTTTTAATTTTTGGGGATTTCATTTCCCCCTTTCAAGAACGCGCGTTTTGAGTAAAACATAAAGCGACATTCACAGAGTGCGCACATTTTAGATAAAGTGCCCTCCGTGTTTTTTTTTACATGAGACACTAATCTAAGGGCACGCAATAATGCGTGACATAAATCCTTCAATTTTTTGAAGATATGACACTTTTTTAATATCACTCCCTTTTGCGTAACATAAATCACCGAGTGTCGTGGTTTGCGCGTCGTTAAAGGCTCTTTTTCTTGTAGTGGACCATGGTAATTTAGTTTGTAAAGTGAGAATTCTTATAAAGTTTATTATAATAGTTTTAATCAAATTCTTTTGTTAGTTTTGAACTCAGATATGAAAATGTTTCATTTTCACATCATATCCTATATTTCTATCTACCACTTACAGATAAGGGAATTAGTAGCAGAAAGTAATTATGACTTTGATGCTTGTATTGTTAGAGGAAGCACAAGTTGGGAAATCTCATTTCGGTTTGTGCTCTTCCTTCTTTTTAGATTTTTAATTATGAACGTTTTTCAGCAATCTCTTGAAATGTATTTATTGTTTATTCTTATAATGGTTCTCTTTGTCGATTAATATATGCATTATCAATTTCACTAGTTTCTGTTTGATTACTGTGATTTAGCTTGTTTCTTTTTCTGGGTTTCAATAGTTTTGATTACACATGTACTGTATACAAATTGGTGTGATAGTAGCAGCAAGTGTGCAACAAAACTATTCTACAACAAACTTTTTGATATGCGAGATTTCATTGGATCTAATATGTATTTGTTTTTCATGTTTTCAGATTTTTCAAGCTTTTCCTAGGGATTTTCTATACTTGAGTTCAGCTCCTCTTGCAACTCTAATCATAAAGTTGTTTTTATAAAATGTAATTTGTTTATAATGGACTGGCAATATATTTTGTTAGAATACGTATAGTTGTATTAAAATGTATAAGCTATTATTCTGTAAGAATATGTATAAATATACATTCAGGTATTCATGAGTAAACAACGATCTGTAATAATATGTTTTTATTTTATTTTTAACCATTCTCAGTTTTATTCTTTTAGAATAAATATAATTGTTAACCATTATTACTTGTATTCTTTTTAAATGAATGTCATTTATGTATGTTTATAGTTGTATTTGTTAAGAATGAATGTAACTAATGATTTTAAGCTATTAAAAATATTTTCATATAAAATTTGTATTCATTAAAAATTATTAATCTTGATAATATATGTTTATATTATTCTGTCAGATTTTAATAGTTTTTTCAAGATAATTATAAACACATTCTTTCAGAATGTCCCAATTAATATATTTATTATCCAAAAAATCAGAGTTTTAAAATTTAGACAATTAATTGTTTCCTAAAATCTGCATTTTTTCTTTTTTAAATTTATGTTAATTGACTAAAATACTCTTAGAATAAAAAAAAAGGATTTTTCAATTATCTTTAATGTAATAATATTTGTTAATCACTTTTTTAAAATAAATATAATGAATGGTTCACAATCATTTCTATATCCACACAATAATTAGTTATAATAGAATAATCTAACCTTATATATATATATATATATATATATATATATATATATATATATATATATATATATATATATATATATATATATATATAGACACACACACGTGTGTTTAATAAAGAAAAAGTCTAACGGTCACATTCTCTTCCAACGTTCCAATTCTCCGTTGGCAACATAGTGCATCCGCCATCTTTGCCGCCAACAAAAAACGAAAAGCAGGTCGGTATTCACCGCCGGTAAAAGTATCACATCGGCTATTCCATCGGTGAAAGGATATCCACACTCTTTAGTCTAAAAATGGTTGAATAACTATGTAGAGTGTTTGTAATGTGAAATATTGTGTTTTTTAGCCGACTTTTATAGTTTTCCATAAAAATATAATTTATTATTACACAGAAATAAATATTTGAGTTTAGTTAAATGGGAAATGGTAAAAATATATATGGGTCAAAAGACATATGAAGGCTTCAATCCTATATTACGGGGTCAAGGTTGTAATGTACGAAGAAGGTTTTCGGCGTTTTGCTGAAATTTTCTCTTCTCCAATAGAAGGTTCTTTTTTGAATATTTGCATTCTAAACTTTGCTACCATAATCGGCTGCTCAAACTTATTAAAAACAAATATTTCTTTTGGAATCTTTGAATTCTAAATTTGCTATTGGTTGTTTAAAGTTTAAACTTATTACAAATGAATATTATCAAAATGTCACCAAGTGAAAAATAGATTAACCGTCTACCGTGCTTTGGTTTTAACTTTAGAAAAAAATGACGACTTAAATCATGTGATTTGGCATTTGGTTTTAATAGCTTGAGTTAAAACTCCTTTTCTTTTTATTAAATTCATTTTTATAGAATCAATTGAGATGCCAATTACTTTTGACGTTTTAATTCGATCATGTTTTACATTTATCATTATTCTAATTTTTTCAATAACAAATCTAATCTACTTTTTAATTTCATCATATGTCCACAACAAAGATTTGAACCTCAACCTCAACAAAATAAGATAATATCTGATGCCATTTGGCTAGAAGCTTTATCACCCTAATTTCAAATATAAATACCAACAGTTAGATAACCATTTTGTAAAAACATGAAATTAATATTGTTTGATAAGTACGGTACGTAATGTATAATAATTTTTGTAGAAGATACAAACTTCTTTTGCTTTATATATAAAAGTTAGGAGTTGTGTGTACATCTTTTACTGATAATAAAATAAGTATGATTTGATAATATTCATACTGTTTTACATCACAATTAGCGGGATCGATTCCATCTTATAGTCTATGATATATCTTTTAATACCTTGTCTAATAAAAAATAGATAGGTCTCAATGAGAACTTGACTTAGCTAAATTTGACTCAATTATCTACTCTCAATCAACTATTAACAATTAACTAACCAAAAGGTAATCAACAAGTTGAGGTTGAGGGTAACTGAAAATTAGGTTAGGCTTAGGTTGGTTTTTTTTACCAAACCACATTGGACGTTAGATTTAAGATTTCTTAAAAAACTTAAGGTTAACAAACCATAAACGCAACAACTAAAGTGCGAGTACATGTATATGAAATTAAGAAGGTTTAACTAAATATTGTATTTATATTTTTAGGACAATAACTTTTAATAATAAAAAGTTATTGAGTTTTAATTGTACGTGTTTTACTAAAATAAGAAATTAAGAAGGTTTAATTAAATATTGAATTTATATTTTTTTGACCAAATTTACAAAAATGGTCCCAATAATTGTCAAAATTATGTGATTTTTGTCCAAAAATGTTTAGTGGTACACCAGTGGTCTAATTTTTGATATCTTATGGTCCTTATGTTGTTAACTTTAACGGTTTGACTGTTAAATTTTTTAAAATGATTATTTTACCTTACGAGACCATTTCTGTAATTGAGTCTTTTACCAAATCATAGGTACCATTTCTGCATATCTTCCTTTTAACTTTATTGAAGTATTATATATTAGTTTTTTTTAATTAATTATTTTATGGGATTAATTCTTTTTATTAGATTATTATATATTAATAAGTATTATTTTTTATATAGTATTTAATATATTAATAATATTATTTTATTGGAGTATTGATTTCTTTTAATTAATTTTTTTTAATTTCTTTTTTATTGGATTAAGTTTTTTTATTGGATTATTATATATTAATAAATATTATTTTTAATATTATATATATATATATATATATATATATATATATATATTAATGAATATTGCTTAAAGGGATTATTAACTTCTTTTAGTTATTTTTTTTTTAATTTCTATTGTAATAATTCTTTTTTGTCGAGCCGAATTTGAGATATATTTTGGACAAAACCATAATTTTTGGACCGAGTGACAGTAGTGGTATTGTCCAAAATATGTTATCGTCCGGAATGCTAATTCCAGACGAAATTGTTATTTTTGCTATAAAAAAATTGGTTATTTTCTTCAAATACACATTAAAATGTTGTTATATTACTTAATTTACCGTTTGTTAATGTACAATAATTCAAATAAATATTAAAAAAATAATTATAAATATCAGTATTTCGATAAAATAATATTCATTATATATTAATATTATATATTTAAAATAGTATTTATTCATATATATATATATATATATATATATATATATATATATACAACAATTCAAAAAAAAAATTAATATAATAAAAAAAAGTTTTAAAACATAAATTAACTAAAAGAAATTAATCCAACAAAGTTTCAAGAAGACGGCTCAAAAACCAACATCTTCTAATTTATTTTAAATATATGAAAGATAGCATATTTTGAACAACACTACCACCATCACTCGGTCCGAAAATGGTGATTTTGTCCAAAATATATCACAAAAATCGGTCCGAAAAAGAAAAGAATTAATATAACAGAAATTTAAAAAAAAATAAACTAAAAGAAGTTAATAATCCCATAAAGTAATATTGATTAATATACAAGAATCCAATAAAAAAGAATTAATCCAATAAATGGAAATTAAAAAAGAATTAATTAAAAGAAATCTATACTCCAATAAAATAATATTATTAATATATTAAATATTATACATTAAAAATAATATTTATTAAAATATAATAATTCAATAAAAAGAATTAATCCAGTAAAAATAAATTTAAAAAATTAATTAAAAACCAACTAATATCTAATACTTTAGTAAAGTTAAAAAGAAAATATGCAATATGGTCCCTATGGTTTGGTAAAAAGACTAAATTACAGAAAGGGTCCATGAGGGTAAAATAGTCAGTTTTAAAAAGTTAACAGTCAACATGTTAAAGTTAACCACATAAGGACCAATACCGCACAAGGTATCCAAAATTGGGCCTTTGGTGCACCACCAAACCTTTTTGGACCAAAATTATATATATATATATATATATATATATATATATATATATATATATATATATATATATATATATATATATATATATATATATATATATATGGTAAAGTGAATATACATATCAACCTTATATAAGCTTAGGTTCATAACCACATTATACTACATAGTTTTGCATTATATTTCCATTGCAATCATCTAAGGTTCTTAAACTTCAACCATTAACTTGATTTACTTCCAAGATTTTCACACATTCACCATTGTATTCCTCCTACACCATTTGATTTGTAACGGTAGTATATGAAGCCCACCAGGGGGTCTCCGATAGAAATACGTCATTTGAAGAAAGATAATGGTGAAAGTCCAAAGATTTTAAAAGCAATCAAGTTATGAGGTTGAGTTTTAAGAACTTTGGGTGATTACAATGCAAATATGATACAAAATTACGTAGTATGATATGGTTAGGTACCTAAGCTTATATAAGGTTGTTAGGTATATTCACTTTACCCACATATATATATATATATATATATATATATATATATATATATATATATATATATATATACCCAACCATTTTTTTAAGCCAAACAAATTCTATATAAATTCAATTATTCGTTAATCATTTTTATTTAATTTATATTTAATAACAATTAAGTATTCCACTAATAATTAAACATTCTCATTCAATAATACATATGTATATTGTAACATTAGTTTATAACCCATTGGAACTATGGTTACAAAATTAGTAAAACTTTTATAGTAAAAGCTTAAAAATATTAATTAATTATTTTAAATAAATAATTAATTAAGATGTATTTGTTAATTATATAAAATTATTATCGTTGATTTAAATAAATATTTGAAATTATATCACATTATTATCTATATTAATTTTATTTTGATTTTTATTCTAATATTATTGATTTCATGTAATTAGTGTGAGAAATTAAAATGTTAAAAAAATAAATAAATAAATAAATAAATAAAAAACATTAGACTGACAGATATAGATGTTAGTTAGGAGATATAATAGTATAAGACTTGACAAAATAAGAATAAGATTATTCTTTTTGTAGAAAAGACAGATTAGAATACAGAAATTGAATTTTTTATGTCATACATAATTTGGTTTTAATTTATTATAATATAACAAAACTCATCGTATAGTTTTAAATAAAAAGGACATACCATTATTTTTTAAATAATATAGTTAGTAATTATTTCAAACAATTTTACAAAACATTTATTATTATTAATTATTATTTATAAACAAAATTACTTTGTTGTCAAGTGGACTTGACTATTCACATAGCGGTTAGGTTAGTTGTGGATATGTTGGCGTGTTACAGAAAAACTGGTTCAAATTCTCACCTTTTCTTTCCTTTCTTTTTCTAATTGCATCATCAATTATCATTATACAAAACTAAAAACTTCAATCACACATTTAACAAATTTTTAGAAACTTTAAACACTATTTAATATTAACATATAGTAAAATACAATATATCATGTTATGTTGAATCAACTTAACACCAAATTTAATACTATTATAACTTTTGTCGATTACTTTCATCAACCTAATTTATGTAATGTCATGTCATTTGTTCCTAATGAGAAAAATGTACCTTCAATAGGGTTGTTGTCATTATCACAATGTCCTTCAGTTTCCAATCACAATTTGTATGCATCAAGCAATCAAGAAAAGCGGGGTAGGGGTATCAATGCATTTTTCCACTTTTTGAAACAACCAATTCACATCACAAAAGCCTTAAAATGGATCATGATTCTTGTGTACATTTTTTCATTAAATAAAATCTCAAGTTTTGTAGAATTTGTCTGAAGCAAAATAAAAAATAAAAAAAAAAAAAAAAAAAAAAGAGTTTTAAGATTTAAGAAGAAGGTTTTTGTTTCTTTGGAACCCGATAGGCTCCAACAACACAAGCATGGTCTCTTTCAAAGGGTTCAAGTGTCACTTGCTCCATTGGTTTAAATTGCTCTGCTTGCAGCTTCTTCACTTCAGAAGCAAATACAGCCTCAGCTGGAACTGTAGAATCTATGCAGTTTGCCTATTGAAATATATGTTTTTATTAATTACTTTATTATGAAAGATTGACCTTGATTGATATAAGGTTCAACAACTGACCTTGATTGATATAACAAAATAGCCTCCGGATTTCAAGAAATAGGATGCATTCAGTGCTAAAATTCTAGCCTGAAAAAGGAAATACAAAACAATCAAGTACAATGGTAGAGCTAAGATACCCTTGTAACCATTTTAGAAAAAGGGTAGAAAAAATCGAATCAAACGACAAAAGTGGCATCAGAAACTCGGTTTTTGCATCATACAAGATGTCCTGAAGGGGAATCCGAGTAGCTCATCATATGCCATATTGTAAATCAAACAGAATCCAAGAATGAAACCAAAAAAGACAGATATAATAGAAATATTTGTGGTGACAATAAACAAAAACAATGTAAAAGATTAATAAAAAAAACTTGGGAGTGCAGTAAATGTAAGTATATAATGTTGTGAAAGAAGGAAAGAGAGACCTGATCAGGTTGGGCAACATCAGAAAAAATAACATCAACCATGCTAACAAGCATTCTGTACTTGGCTGGATGTCTGGCATCTTCAATAATAGGAATAACATTTGTCCTCTTCTTAGCCATATTCACCAAATCTCTACCACTTCTATTGGAAAATTCAACAGCATACACAACTCCAGTCTAATAATAGAAAAGGAACAAAGCAATTAACTTCTTGTTAGCGATTTAGATATGATCATATGGAATGAGAAAAGCAATAATCTTTAATGAACGACTTACAGGTCCAACAAGATCAGATACATGAGAAACTGTGGTGCCAGATGCAGCTCCAAGGTAAAGGACACGAGAACCAGGTTTCTGAAACCATAAAATAAGAAAAAAGCTCAATGATCAATTGAACATCACTGCTTATGTTGGATCAATGATTTTGTACAAAACTTACCATCCAAATATTGTCAACTCCTCCAAGAACAGCAGCAGCCAATTTTGACCTAAAGGGATTCCATACTCTATACTCGATCTTTGTTCCATCTTCATTCTGAATCCAAACAAATTAAAAATAATGTCAAAATCAAATCAACGCAGACACTAATTCGCTCTAAATCAGATATATATCTTAACTATGAAAAGACTAATTAGAATTTTTAGTAATTTGTACCTGAACAGAGATCCTCTTCTCATTATAGACAGCTTCACCAGGCACCATGTTTCTAGTGCAAAGAGCATCTTCCTTACCTTTAGCAATAAACACGCCATCGTGTCTATGTGGTTCAACAATGACCTTACTCCCTCCCTTCATTCCACCACCACGTCCTCCTCTGCCACCACCGCGACCTCTACCACCGCCTCTTCCACCAGCGCTTCTTCCGCCGCTGAATCCTCCACCTCCTCTGCCTCTGCCTCCTCCACCCCCTCTTCCTCTACCGCCGCCATCTCCACGGCCACCCCTGAATCCACCGCTTCCACCACGTCCTATAATCAAACATTAATAAATTCGTTTAATACAAAGATCACGTCAGTAAAGAAAATAGAATTACTGTTTGCATTAAAGAGAGAAGCATACCTCCTCTGATTGGAGCTCTCATGTTTGTATTCAAAAATAGGATTACTGCTGTTGCGGCTTGCTAGGGTTTATGTGTGAAGTAGTTAGCAGGGTTTATGGATTCTTATAAGAATAAGGGATTGTTAATTAGGGTTCTGGTTCCGCATCTCTCGGCAATCGCTCATGTACTGTCATAGAATATTTTAGACCAACACATATAAATGGTCCCCGCTGTTTTATCGGATTCTCATATTTTCTTCCAAAACATTTTCGTTACAAGAATGGTCCTTATGTTTTAAATTTCTTACCCAAAGTAAATAACATTTAGTCATTTACACTCTTTTTATTATCTTTTATCTTTTTGGTTAATTTCAAATTTAAAAAATAATGAAAAAAACACCCTCACTCTTCTCTCTCCTCAAAGACTTGCATGTTATAAATCTTTTCATATCTCCCTTCTATTGGACAAAATCTAGGTAAAGTCCTTGATGATAAAGATGAATGAAAGAAAATTGAAATATAAAGTTGATTAGAAACAAATCAAATGTCAAAATCTAGAGTTGATTGGAATGCACCCCAAATACATTGTTTTGAATTGATATGTTGATCAAACCATAAATATGAAATCAAATCTAGTATCATCATCAAACTTGTAATTGGAAATCATAAATGTAGCACAAAACAGACGCACTTTTTGTCAAGTTAATTTCTAGGTTTGGAATCGAGTATATATAGTGCTTTTGTATCAATATCCTGATTGAAATTCATTTGGCAAGGAGGTTATTGGGTTTACTTCTTCAATGAAGATAATAAAGAGTTGAGACTTAACAATCTAAACCCACCAAAGAAGAACACATAAGCATGAATGGAAGATAAGCTTTGGAATCGACTATGAAGGTATTAGGGAAAAATACAAGTTTGCCATATTCTATAGTGGTTATGGTGAAAAGTTCACTAATATGAAGACATGGAAAATCAAACATAAATGTTAAATAAGAGAAAACATGGCAGCTCAATCATGGTGCATACTAGGATTGAAGGTTTGGACCGTAAACCTGATAAAAAAAAACTGAAACCGAACCGAACCGAATTATAAACAAATAAGTTATTTAGGTCTGTTATCGGGTATGTATTTTAAGCTTATTCAGTCTAGGTTACCCGAATAACGTCTTGATCGAGCCTAAAGGACCGAACCAAAATTTGAAAATATATCAATTTTAGGGCAACTTGAATTGTCATAATGTCTTCGTTAATTGTCCGATTTGCTTGATTTTTTTCCCATCTTGTAGTTCATTAACTAAATTATTATTTACATAGTTTACATTCATTTTTTGGGTACATGTTCGATGGGATACTAACCCCTAAACATGCATTATTAAAGTTGAATTTTTTATTTCATCATGTTTACATAATTTTATGGCAACTTTGAACTAGCATAACGTCTTCGTTATTGTTTACATAATTACATGTGTATATTCAATGAGATAGAGGTACCTAAACATAGGGGTATTAAATGTGTTTTTTTTAACTAACATTTACTTTATGGTAATAGATCATGCATATGTTCGAGATGTTTTGTCCCCGTAGAAGAATATTTTAATATTTGTGGAGCTATGGTTGGATCATTGATCCACATTTGAATTTAAATAATTTGACTTCCTTAGATTGCTGTAAATGTTATCCAATTTGTTTGGTTATTCAGTTCTTTTCAGTACTATTCGGTCCTTAATTATATTGTAAATGTTATTTGATTTATTCGGGTAATAACCGAATCAGACTGAGTAATACCCGCACCGAATCTGACTCGTATTGGTTTAATCGGTCTAGTTTTCGGTTTCTTAAAATAGTCTTATTCGTTTTTCAATTTATTCGGGTTTGGGTTGGTTCCGTCCCAAATAACATGCCTATCGCAAACAAAAGATTAGATATAACATCTCAAATCATAAAGAAATTATGTCAATGAGCATGTGGTGTACGCACAGGACAACGCTATGAAGAAAAAGTAGCAATGATCAAGTGTTGATTAATAGGTTTAAAAACAAATTGATATAGTAAATGAAAGATCTTTATCGACACTGAGTCGAATCCCCTTCAACAAAAAATTAAAAATTAAAAAATAAGCAAATAGTTTCCGCTTTCAAATCAATCTCTTCCAACGAAGGATTAGGTGTCGCCTTTTGGGTACGAAATCTCTCTCAATATTCTTAGCTTTGATAAGATGAAGGGTGTTGGTTTCGATGATGTATCTACAAAATGAATGAATGGTTGGGGGTATTTGTAAGTGAACGATGGGTAGTGATGAGGGTTGTCGAAGGCGGCAGTGGAGGATATAGGAAGCAAAAAGAAGAACGACCGTGGTGAGGACGGGTATAAGTGTAAGTGATTTGGGTATGTGAGTGTTTTTCTCCTTGTTTTGTATAAAAATCATTTAAAATAAAAAACAAAAAATATATATAAGTATTTTTGTATGCATAAGGGACGAACCGCGCATAAAATTAGAACCACGTAGACCATACGTATAACAAAAAAAAAAAGTTATAGATAAAATTTGCAAATTTAAAAACCACAAGGAGTATTTATATAATTTGATCTATTTATTTTTCCATTCCATAACTCATTGACGGATGGACCAGCAAACTTGGGCCGCGTAATTGGACCCATTTCGCACAAAGATTTAAAATGTATTAAAAAAAAAAAAGGATAAAATCTTATTTGGTTTCGTAATGGTTTAGATTTAGAATGTAAAAAAAAAAAAAAAAAAAAAAAAAAAAACGAATTTTTTTAATCGAAAATCAAAAAACCAAGCTGAATAACATCCCTGGCTCCTATTAAATGAATAAAATTGTACATGATATTATTGAAATAATGGCTAGCGAACCATGTTGAGGCTTTTGCTTGAGAACCTAAAAATTCAACAAATTGTAATGAAAAATGAAAAACTAGTGGGCTGTAAATTTTCCAAATTAGCTTATCACATTATGGTTGTCGATTTAACTTTGAGCTTCAAAACATACTTTTCATCAAGTTATTTATCCTCAATTTTAATGAAAAACATTTCATATTATGCTTGTCGATTTAGCTATCAAGTGGCTGTCGGAGTTGTTGCTAGCGCCTGAGAATCCCCGGTGGTGAGTGATGCTATTACCTGAGAATCCTCAGTGACGCCTACAGGAGTTGCTGTTGTTGCCTGAGTATCCTCGGTGGTGGCACCAAGAGGTGTTGCTGCCGCCTGAGAATCCTCAGTAGCGGAGGTGGTGGTGGCAGCAGCAGGTGTGTCTGTGGTTGTTGCCTGAGAATTTTCAGATGTAGAAACAGATAAAGGGGTCGACGACAAAGTAGGTATGTTGTTGGTGTTGCGTAGTGCCGGATTTTTGAGCTCATCAAGGCCAATTTCTTTTTCAAGGGTGCTCTTGAATTCCCTAGAAACTTCCTATAAAAATATACAGACCATTCATGACACCAATTTATTTCACAGTTGTGAAAATTATGTTTGAAGACATTACCTGAAGCTCCCTAATTGTCGGTTGAAATGTTCGCAAAGTTTGCCCTAGATTTTTTGCAATCTGCAATCAAAAGCAAACACATTTATGATTTATCAGATTAAATGCAAATGATATCAAGAAATTAGGGTTTTTAAGGTGATAAAATACAATACCTCAGCAAGACCTTTAGGGCCAAAAACCAACAATGCGACTACTCCGATCACTAAAGCTTCAGGAGCCCCAACTCCAAATAAAGATGCAAACACAACTTTCCCTCGACATTTCTTTCTCTTTTCTGCATACGCAGATCACCACAAGCATATCAAGCGTAAAAAACACAAACTCATTCATAATCGATTAATCCCTCTGTTCTAAAAGGATTGACTTTTTAGTCAAACTAAGAGCTTTTCAACTTACAAATTGATATGCATTTCAGAGTTTTCTACTGTTTTTTCAGCTAGCTCTAATCAACTATGAAAAGGTCGAAGTTGGTGTCAAATTCATAACAGGAGTCTACAATCTACATCATTCTCTAGTTGAAAATCCATGAGTTTGACTATGATCGGAGGGAGAGTATATCAATATATGAACATTAACTTACTAGATAAAAGAAACTTACCAAATCTCAAAGATTTTAGCGAGATTGAAAACCCATTGTGCCTGAGGCCATTCCAAGAAGAAAAAGAAGCTAAACCCATTTGGGGAACGAATGTTATTGAACGAAATATTTGGTTTTTAGGGTAGGAAAAGGAAAGTGGAGGGTTAGAAAGAGAAGCAATAAAGGGATATGTTCTAGAAACAGTCGGTAATTGAGATGAAGTGTGAGATAGAGAGGGAGGATGAATGAGGGTTGCAGAAGCCATTGTTGATTGGTATGGTGGTAGTTGGTTATGGCGAGCCGATCTGAGCTTCACTTCTGGGGAAATGTTTTGATTGAAAGGCAATTTGTGTTTGTTTGGATCTGCCGACGTGGTGGTAGTTGGTTAAGCCTTGAAGACTATTAAATATCAAAAGTTAAATGTACGTGACACTAGCGAAAAACCAACCATATGCAAGTAACTTAAACCGCTTTGGTTCATATTTATTGATTTCTTTAATTTTATCTTTAAATATTTTTATTTGTGATATTTATTAATTATAAAATTTATAACAATGAAATAACATTTAAAAACAATCATTCTATATATTTTACATTAAGTATTACTGTAACAATAAAAAATCCAAAGTAAAAATTTCAGTCTTATTATAATTAAAACACTAATGTAATTTTATTCAAAACATTAAAAATCATATCAAGTAAAACAATCATCACAGTCCGATCTCAAAGATCACATGTTACGGAAAACATGGGTATATGTATTGCGATTGTCCCGGGCTCTTTCATTTGAAAACTGAAGTACCTGAAACAAAACTGAAAAACGTAAATACAAAGCTTGGTGATTTTCCCAAAACACTACATACCATACATATCAAACGATCCATACATGACATACATAACTGCGAGTCGTACATATCATTCGGTAACATCCCGATATATTGCAGGTATTTCCAAATCCTCTTTTCTATTATGAAATTGTCAATTGTAGTCCCTGTGGTGGGAAGAGTCGAACCATAAGAAGCCTAAGGGATAAAGTTGCAACTATTGAGATCAGGAAGAGTACGCTAAGCGTACATAAGGTACATTAGGCATACAATTGTGTACGCTAAGCGTACTCACGTCATA